ACCCTCAAAGGGAAAAGCTATAACTTACTTATTACATTTATCTGCTGTCCATCTCACAGTTTGAAGCACCTCAGAAAACCCAACTACTGAAAGCAGCTAAGCATTTGGGAAACGTGAAAAGGATGCAATTGATTTTTTTTTAATGTTTTGAAAAGGCGTATTTGGAAAGTTTGGATTGTACAAACTAGAACAGAACATCACGTTGATTCAGAAAGCTTCTTTCTAAGTTTTCTACTATTTATTAAAAAATGTGAAGGCTCAGTTTATCCTTTTCCTAACTCTGTGTTTTCTAAAAAAAAGTAATGTGGGCTATATTTCAAAAATCTATTGTGCTAAAATCTTTGAAGAATCCAGTTTAAAGCCAGCAGGATTACACTTTAGTAAAAAGTCTACTATATTCTCATCTCCCAAATCAAACTGTTTCAGAAGCTTTGAATTTCTCCCATTATACCCTATGGAATATATTTTTCTCTAAATAAAGTCTTGAACTGAAGTGTGTTGTCATGAAAACTCAAACTATATGCGTATGTTCACTTTGAAGCTTGAATCTTCAGTTTGAACTGAATCAGTGCTGAGGCGCATTTATCAAACATTCTTCATTCTGTTTAAGTAAATTATGAATACTGTTTCTCCATGTGTACTACTTTACTTGCTACAAGATTAGTTTTAATAAGTACTGTATTTTGGGCCTTTGTAGACATTTATTATTTTATTTTTCTTACTTTACTCTACCCCCGTTCACTTTTCCATTTCTAGATTTGATTTAAGAGTAATGTTACATAATTAAAACACTGTAAATCCAAAATTCCTGAAAAGAATCAATACAAATTACACGCAGCTTTCAGTGGACATATGATCTTGCTCAACATCTTCAGGAATCACATACTACAACCTCATTATCTTACTTGCACTATTGGCACTAAATATCCAAATATTCCATACAAAATTAGATATGTAGTTTACACTGAAATAATAGAAAATATTTGTAGCTCAGATTTCAAAACCCAAGAAAGAAAACCCCCAACTCCATTGAGATAGAGAGAAGGTACTTTCACTGATTTTGAAATAATAGCAGTAAAAGAAAATCAGGATCTGAAGCAAAAGATGTGAAAATTACATATGGAAAGTTTCTCCAAATCCCTCCCCCCCCAGGGACCCAGGCTGAATGTCCAATCCACATCCCACATAGTGTCATGTCGGGCACATCTTCAGCTGTTTTTGTCCATCTGGAATTCTAAAATGGTGGCCTTGACCGGGTGTAAACAACTCCATTCAGCAGCACAGTAATTCTTGAGATCAAACCTTCCTTTTAGTTCACATGGGCATTTCTCATACCAGTACATTTCTCAAACCCCAATGTCATGCCTCCCCTCCCTGTTACTATGGCAGCCAATAGCAAGCAAGCACCAAAGGGAAAAGCCAGGCTGGAGATCTGGGTGACATTTTAGATTTGGCAGTGATTTGCTCTTCAAACTTGTTTCAATTTAGTTTCTGAATGTTTCATTACCAGACTAGGTAACATCATCAGCACCTCCCTTACATTAAGTTGAATGCCTCAGGCAATAAGCCATTGCAACAAGAGTACACTGAATGATAGGCCACTTATAATAGGCCAAATTTTAGACTATTACCAATCTGCCAGATTATTAATAAAGGAGAATATTAGTTTCATTACCCAAACTAGATAACATCATCAATGGACACTTGTGATGTTTCTTAATTTTGGTAATGGAACACCTGCAAGGAAACAAGTAAACCCGGACAACACCAAGGACCTTACCAGATTATTTTTCTCCCTACAGTTATGTGCCCAATCCTACTGAATTTTTTATTTATCATATCTCTTTCAGCTATCTTTTAATTTTTCATAGGTCTTTTTACTTGCCTTTCAGAAAGCATATTAATCAACACATGGTCCTCTTTATCACACAAAGCACTGTCTTTCTCTTGTTGTTGTACATGTCTTATTATTGAGCTCAACCATTTAGGCTTAATGTGGCATTCTGGTCACATGAATTATTTTGATAACTACTACCTACAGTCTTATTTTTTTTTCCCCAAGAGCTTAGGTTTGTGTATATGAACTAAGACTTCAATGATTAAATTTATATGTTACAAGCATAATTGTATGTTAAAAACATAATTCTATCAAAATTAAATATATGAAGCATGTATATTTGACAGTCAACTAATGTTGCAATTTTATGTCATTTTAATCTAGTTAAGTAAGCATGCTGTGGCAACAGGAGAATTCTTGGAAGTTAAGCAGTATCACCCTTGGACAGTGTTTGGAAGAGAAACCTGGTAATTCCAATGCTGTTGATTAGACAGCCAACCACTTATATAATAATACTACATGGATGCAGTCATCAGCAATTAAGCTCAATTCTGCAACATCTTCATCTCTTTTTTTTTCTATCAAGGCAAGATGTCTTTTATTGTTAGGAATTGATAGCCACCTAACAATTGGGTTGGAAATATATAAACCAGGATAGACATTTAATACTGTCTCTTTAAGGAAATGATGTAATTGTAATTGGGTGTGGTTCCTCAAATGGCCATAAGATGGAACCAGAAACCCGGTTTCCTAGTTGCTGGATGTTCTGATGTTCGATGTCGGTTGGTTTGCATTTTTTCCCTATTTACTGTTGCTGATTGTCGTCCTTCTTGGATTGCTGTGAGTCTGTTTGCTAAACTGTTTATGATACTGGACTTTGTTATTTGGATTATCCCTGGACTGAAAACTGACTACTTTAACCATATATAACTTGGACTGTTTGTTGGACTTTGATTAACTGTTTACTGAAAGTAAAACCTACATTTTACTATTCAGAGTATCTGTATGCTGGTTCTGTGTTATTCAACAACACTCTCACTACGCTTCCCTGAGAGTACTCATTCTCCTAACGGGGAATACCTCAACAATTTCATAATAATGGTGTTTGCTGATGTGCAACAGATAACATAGAGTTGTTTGTTTTTCATTTTATAAAATTAAAAACTGTTGTTGTTGTTGGTTGTGAAGTTGTATCTGACCCTGTGGACAACGTTCTTCTAGGCCTTCCTGTCCTCTACCATGCCCCCAGAATCCACTTAACTCACACAGACTGCTTCCAGCCACCTCGTTCTTTGTCATCCTCTACTTCTATTTCCCTCAATCTTTCCCAGTATTAGGCTCTTCTCCAGTGAGCCCTTCCTTCTCATTAGGTGGCCAAAGTATTTGAGTTTCATCTTCAGGATCTGGCTCCTAAAGAGCAGCCAGGATTGATCTTCTCTAGGACTGACCAGTTTGATCACCTTGCAGTCCAAGAGACTTGAAGGAGTCTTCTCCAGCACCATAGTTCAAAGGCCTCAATTCTTTGGCACTCAGCATTTCTTATGGTCCAACTTTCACAGCCATATATTGCAACTGGGAAAAACATAGCCTTGACTATATGCACTTTTGTTGGCAGGGTGATGTCTCTACTTGCCATAGCTTTCCTCCCCAGGAGCAAGCGTCTTTTAATTTTTGGCACTGCAGTCCCCATCTGCGGTGATCTTGAAGATCAGGAAAATAAAATCTGTCACTACCTCCATTTCTTCCACATCTATTTGCCAGGAATTGAGAGGGCCACATGCCATGATCTTAGTTTTCTTAATGTTGAGTTTCAAGCCAACTTTTGCACTTTCCGTCTTCACCTGCTTCAAGAGTTTCTTTAGTTCCTCTTCAATTTCTGTCATTAGAGTGATATCATCTGCACATCTGAGAATATTGATATTTCTCTCAGCAATCTTAATTCCAACTTTTGAGTCATCTATCCCTGCCTTTCTCATGATGTGCTCTGCATATAAGTTAAATAGGCAAGGTGACAGTATACAGCCTTGCCAGACTCCTTTCCCAATTTTGAATCAATCAGTGATTCCGTGTCCAGTTCTCATGTTGCTTCTTGACCCACATATAGGTTTCTCAAGAGACAAATAAGATGGTCTGGTACTCCCAATCTGTTTAAGAACTTGCCACAATTTGTTGGATCCACACAATCAAAGGCTTTAGCATAGTCAATGAAGCAGAAGTAGATGTTTTTCTGGAACTGCCTAGCTTTCTCCATGATCCAGGGTATGTTGCCAATTTGATCTCTACTTCATCTGCTTCTTTCAAAATCCTGCCTGTACTTCTGGTAGTTCTTGATCCACTTACTGCTGGAGCCTAGCTTGTAGGATTTTAAGCATAACTTTACTAGCATGTGAAATGAGTGCAATGGTGCAACAGTTTGAACATTCTTTGGCATTGCCTTTCTTTGGAATTGGGATGTAAACTGACCTTTTCCAATCCTATGGCCACTGTTGAGTTTTCCAAATTTGCTGGCAAATTGAATATAGCACTTTTACTACATCGTCTTTTAAGATTTTTAATAGCTCAGCTGGAATACTGTCACCTCCACTAGCTTTGTTATTCAGATTTCCTAAGGCCTATTTCACTTCACATTCTAAGATGTCTGGCTCGAGGTCAGTGACCACTCAATAATGGTTATTAGGGACATTAAGCTCATTCCTGTATAGTTCTTCTGTGTAATTTTGCCACCTCTTCTTAATATCTTCTGCCTCTGTTAGGTCCCTGCCATTTTGGTCCTTTATCATAACCATCTTTGCCTGAAATGTTCCCTTCATATCTCCAATTTTCTTGAAGAGATCTCTGGCCCTTCCTATTCTATTGTTTTCTTCTATTTCTTTGCACTGTTCATTTAAGAAGGCATTCTTATCTCTTCTAGCTATTCTCTGAAATTCTGCATTCAATTGGATATTCTCTTTCTCCCTTCCCTTTCACTTCCCTTCTTTCCTCAGCTACTTGCAAAGCTTCCTCTGACAGCCATTTTGCTTTCTTGCACTTCTTTTTCTTTGGGATGGTTTTAGTTGCTCTTGTACAATGTTGAGAACCTCCATCCATAGATCTTCTGGCACTGTCTATCAGATCTAATTCCTTAAATCTATTTGTCACCTCTACTATATATTCATCAGGGATATGATTTAGTTAATATCTGAGTGGCCTAGTGTTTTTCCCTACTTTCTTCAATTTAAGCCTAAATTTTGCAACAAGAAGCTCATGATCTGAGCCATAGTCAGCTCCTGGTCTTGTTTTTACTGACTGTATAGAGCTTCTCTGTCTTTGGCTGCAGCGCACATAATCAATTTGATTTCAGTGAAATTAAAAACTATAAAAGTATTAAATTAAAATTCATTTTTTAAAAATTAGGAAAAGTAGAAAGGTGCATTTTTACTGAGAGTTAGAAGCACTTTCAACTCCAAGTGTAAATCTCTTTTTTAACTGGCTTGAACTTCACTGAAGTTTCCAAGATACTCAACATAGCATGGCTGATAAAAAGGTTTTTTTTTATATACACCAGGACTAAATACACTTTGGACAGTTGTATTCTGACTGTTAAGGCTGCTGTCTCCATCTTATATCCACTTGGACTTAAGCTGACTCTTCTTATTCTTTCTATAGCTTAACCAAAGTCCTCCTGTATGTTTCCCATGCACTATGCTAGATGGCAGCTAGTTATTGACATGTTCAACTTACCTGAGCTGTAAGGCATTCTTTTAAATAAAGCTATGGTAATAGAAATATATTGATGTTCAGCGGCATAAATCCATAACCCATTCAAAATCCATCGAACCTTTAGGAAAGGATGCTTTAAAATGCAAGATTAGCAAAGCAGCATTGGAAAGTTTTGAGAGTGCCAAGACTCATATGAAGAATTCAAATTCCTTCACATAACAAGTTCATTTCAAACACTACTGTAACACACATGCACCCACAAGCCATCTGTCTGTTCTCAGAACAGTTAACTCCTACATAATATCATTAGCCAAAATCAGCTTTCATTCCCGAGATCTTTGCTCACAAAGTTCCACATAAATCCCTTGAGAAATACAAATTATACATGTGTCTGACTTAAAACTGAATCACTCTGATGCTTAAAACTTTCTGCCAAATAACATCTAAAACTCATTCTCTACAGGTGTGCAAATAGCTTCCCCTTTCTCCATTACTGCATTTACTTTCCATTCTCAGTTTAAAGTAATTTCTTTTCTAGACAGAAAATTCCACTGCTGCAAATCAAGAGTTCTGATAGCTAAAAAAATTGCAATAATCTCTCTTCCTTGTGGCAAATCATAAACAAGGGATGATCAGACTAAAAATTATCTCTACGAAAAGAAATAACAGCCCTGAAACTCAAATGAAGCAGAAGCTAGACTAATAGAATTCTCCCAAGAAAATTCAATATTTACTAACAATTCATTTCAACAATCTAAATCAGGGGTCACCAACTTTTTGGACCTCAGGGACCATCAAACTTATAATTTTAAATCCCACAGACCATTAATATGAATTTTTGACTGACGGTGGCTTGCTGATGTTGGTGGGAAAGTTGGTCCAATGTTCCAGAGCTGCAGTTGTCACAGGACTGGCTCTTTGGTCATCACGGAGCAGCTGCTCCTCCACCTGGGTGGACCAGCCTGCCATGAACTGGAGGAGCTTCTCCAGGATGACCAAAGGGCCATTCTTGTGACCACTGCAGCTCTGGAATATGGGACCGACTTTCCCATCAATGTCAGCAAGTTACCCCAGGGCGGATTTCCCTCCCCTGCCATTGGTCTTACCATCCAGTTCCAGCTTGCGTGGTTCTACTCGAGGTAAGGTTTGCACTAGGCTGAAGGGTGGGCCAATGGGTGGGCAGACCATGTGGGCAGTGCAGCCTTGTGTTCCCACGCAGCCTGGATTAATTGCTTTGGGGAGAGTGCTTTGGGGGGGACATTTCTCTGCAGACTACCAACATTTTCTCACAGACCACCAGTGGTTGGTGACCACTGATCTAAATCATTTGTATCTAACCTGCAGCTCATGGACCACATGCAGCCCTGGACAGTTAGTAAGATGGTCCCACAAGATCATAAACCTTTAACATTATTATTTGATTTATATACATCTACTATATTACATATTTTATATGTGGCCCAAGATGATTCCTTTTCATTCACTGTGATGCAGGCAAGCCAAAAGTTTGAAACCACCACCCCCGATCTCAATTGTATCTAGGAAGGAAAATGCAAAGTGAAATTGACTATACACACCAGGGGTGGGCAAACTACGGCCCACGGGCCACATCCGGCCCATTGGTCTTTTTAATCCGGCCCGCCAAAGTTTGGTACAGAATTAAGGTTTGATGTGAATGATTGAATGATTGCATTCATTTGATTTTGACTTGTAACGACAGGCATTTCGACACCAGGTGGCGGCCTGTCTGTCAAATTTTAAAAGTCAATGAGGTCCCCCGAGCCAAAAAGTTTGCCCACCCCTGATACACACTATAATCAAAACTGAAACAGTCAAATTAGACCTAATGCTGACTGTGGCTCAGATCACAAAGTCCCCTTTTAAAAATTTCTTAAGAACTTAAACAAAACAACAAATCATCAGACCAAAAAACTATGACCTCAGCAATATTCAGTGTAATTAAGTGGTAAACATAAATAGATTTATTTATTGGATTAGAACTGTGGACTGAAATGTCTGTATCTTTAAAAGTGAAACAAAGAAAGTATCTCAAAATGAAAAAAGCAAAAGTAAATAAAATTGCTGCCTGCTAATACATTGTAAAGAGCTTTCTCAAGGTAGAAACCAAGAGAGGACATTTGTCTAACTAAATATTAGTTCATTTTATTGAAAGTGTAAATGATTTCCAGAAAAAAGCAAATAAATTGAAATTGAAGATAATAATCCAACAAAAATGACAAAAAACAAGGAAATTTTTAATGCAATAATGGGCCCAATAAAAGACAACAAAATTTTACTGATAAGAGCTTTAAAGAAATGGCACAAATATATGGAAATAATTTTTTAAAATTCCAAAATTGATTAAATGTATTAAGGTTTGCTCACTGAACTAGAGCCAGGCATCCCGGAAAAAGAAGGAGGCCCTAAAATATTGCTATCAGCAATATTGTTTAAAATATTACAATATTTTATAGTCAAGGTACCATATGGAATTTGCCAGGAGCTAAGAAAAACTCAGTGGTGACAAAGAAACTGGAAAGAATCAGTGTCAAAAACAGACCGCACTAAGGAATGCTCATATTACCAAATTATTTATTGTGGGATTCTTGATGCTTTCTGAGCTTGGGTTTGGTGTTTTTTGTTTTGCTTTGTTTTGGCCAACATTTCATTACCAAACTAGGTAACATCATCAGTGCTACAAGGAATGGGTTAGCTATCATTTTATATACTAGTGGCTGTCTTAATTCTCTTTCTCCCATGCAAACTATATAAACTATGCTATCTTTGGAATGAGAATCCAGTCAACATTCCATTACATTTATCCACATTAGTAACATAATTCTCAAGATTTGCAATCAAGTCCTCAACAATACATAGAACAAGAACTCTCAGACATACAAGCTCAATTCAGAAGAGATTGAGCCACCCAAGATCACATTGCAAACATCTAATAAATAAGGGGAAAGCCTTCTATTTTGCTTTCTTCTAAGGTTTTTCACTGTCTACACAAGTTGTGGAAAACCCTAAAACATGGCAGTATCAGGACACCTTATCTACTGTAGCTGTTGAAAAATGTTATCATGGATAGATAACAACAAATAGAGTAGAAAATGAAGAAATTTCAACATTGGAAAATGAGGCCACTTTGTACACTATCACCTTATATATTTATTTTATATGCAGAATACACTGTGGAAAGTGCTGGAAGAAATAGAAATTAGAATTAAAGCTGCCCTTAGAAACATCAAAACCTCCTAAGATGTTGATGCTATTACTGATGATTGGAAGTGAAGCAAAAATTCTTGCTGATAATGCCAACTTGGTGCAAGAGAAGAAATTGCTTGGTTACTTGTTTGTTTATTTATTTATTTCTAGTACTTATAGATCTAATCCTATTGGACTCTACTGTAGGCGCAAAAGTCAGGGAAGTATACTATACTCTTTCTATTAATTTAACTTTTGTACAATTAACACATAGTAAAACATCAAAAACTCTGATATGGTAGATAAGTCTGGGTGATATAACCAGTCCTATTGAGTTCAGTAAACCTTTTTCACAAATGTAGGACTGCAAATAAAATATATTTCAAAACAAACTAAAAATATGAAATAACAATTGCAGTAAAAATTATTATATGGAATCAGATGCACCTGTTAAGGTCTATTATTTGTGATTTAAATAAGAATAAAGCAACATTTTAAATATATATACTATACTATATGTTAAAAAATTTACCAGTAGTATTATGACTACAGTATGATCACTAACAACCATTTGGTGAATAGCCAGTGTTAGTAACATACTGTAACTTTGTGTGTATAATTTTGCACTTCAATTTTATTTTCTTCTGTTTACACTCCTTTAATTTGATCTAGGTTAAAACTGTGCAAAATTGCAAAGATATAGTTATAATAATACAGTAAAATTCCTATGTAGAAAGGTCAAGAAATAGCTCAAACCAACATTCAGTCTCTCACATTTAATTAATGTGTGCTCTCAAGGTGTTGCTCTAACCTCAGCCTACCCTTCCTTAAACCCAGGAGAGGAATTCATTGTAAGAACCAGGATTAAAAATGACAAAAAAAGCTATCATATTATCACTTCATATTCTAGGAGTGACATTTTTATATAACATTTAAACAGATAGCTAAGGAATCCTCCAAGACTGGCTGAAAACCATGGAGTTCATGAGTCTCTGACTTTGAGCCTCTCAAAAGTTATTAAATTCAAATATACTTCGTTTCCCTACTAAGACTGATCACTTATGCAATGCTGGTTATAATTAGCAACTGATTCATCAAAAGTTAATTTAGGTTTCTTCTTTAAAGGAGGTGGGGAGAAAACAGCACAATAAAACATAAAATAAAGGGCAAAGGTGATTTAAAGAGATGTAGGTAGAATTCCAATAACATATATTAATTTTAAGATTCTAATACTTCTAGCTATCCAGTTCTAGAATCCAATTCTGAATAGCTTTAACTATTTTGAATCACACATACAGCTAATGAAATTTTAAGCATCTATTTCATCATAGAAACACTACTAGAATTCTATCTATTAATGCCATAATCAGCTGTAAAGCAGAATTGGACTGGATGATAAATAGTGAATGTAATGTCCATGAGGGATATAAATACAGATATAAAGTATATAAAGTTTATAAATGTTCTGACCAAGGCTTCCTAGACTCTTATTTTAAAAACAAGACTTATTTTATTGCAATGCTGAGAATTGTTTTCATTCCCAGCCAGAATTAATTTCAAACAGTCCTTAGAGATAAGCACCCACCTTTCTTTTCTGTGAAGTGCTGCCAATAACAGAAGTATCAAATGAACTAGAAAAAAACCCAACTAAAGTACAAAAAAACTCAACCGAAGTACAAAGAGCTTCAAGAATGAATCTGAACCGAACAAACTACCTTGCTTCCTGCAAAAGTTTCATCATCTTTGCCTGACCTTTATACCTTATGGAAGGGGTAATCATCTCCTAGCCTTACTTCTGAGTTGGCCCTTTTGTTTCAGCTGCTCTCACCTTCTAGCAGCTCTGTGCATACGCACACTGGGAACAGGCTCCCCTGGGTCCTCTGCCTCGCTGCTGCCAGACTCCAAAGGCTCCGGAGGCAGCACCCCACTCCCAGATGGTCCTGGCCCCATCTCTGCACCCTTGTCCAGACTCCCTGATGAGTCCTCAATCACTGTCTGATTCCACTGCAGTTTGCAATGGCTGCCGGTGAACTACAACAATATATAAAGGAATTTAATATTATATCCTAATACTACTCAAATTTGTAACAACTTAAAGCCAAATGTTTCAAACCCAGTAATTTATGCCGCTTCATTGACAAAGATGCAATGTTTCCATACTAAATGACTCCCTGAGGTCGTTGTGCCATATTTTCTTATGAAATGGGGAGAGTGGGTTAGGATTATCACCTCATGATTCAAGAGGAAATTAACACCCATTGCATCCAATGTGCAGCGTCAACAAGTAAATCACTCTGAACACTTGAGGAGCTGAAAATTGTACTTTGCTTTCTGCAGTGCTTGCAACACAGCAGGCTTGATGGTTACCATAGTAATCATGTGACAGCTTCTGATTTATTACCTTGACTGCACAATTGTAAAGGATCTCAGGCTACCTTCTGTGTCCTTTCGAAATTCGAAAGCAATGCCATGATGAATGTCAGCCATCTGAAAGCTGTACTCAGTGGAATGCCACAGCCAAGAGCAGTGCTATAAATGCAAATTGTGTGGTTTTTTGCCCTTCCAAGAACATTAAAAACACATGGAGGAGATGAGCTTCAACCTCTGACATCATGATTCTTTCTTAATTTTCTGCCAGAAATACAAAAAGATGCAATAAATTCTTCTTCACATTTACAAAACCATGAGAATGCTTGTGACTAGGACTCAAGAATAGTGGTTTGATTATGCCTTTTATACTTTTTAAATAAATCTGAAACAACCAAACAACACATTACTGTATTATATTTAATTGATCGCTTTAGATAATTGTCTTATTTTACTGCGCTTGTGTGTAGACTATTATAAGATGTTAATGTTAGATTCAAGTACATCTTTAAATGGCAGGAACAAGTGATACAGTTTTTTGTCAATAACATCCTAGTAAGATTAAATTGAATTTCATGCAATACGTGCACTGGCCATTTTAAGAGAATGTTTTTGTTATTGAAATATTACATATAATATTACAATAAAATATATTAATTTAAAATTAAAATATTAATTTTATTGAATTGTTTTTGTCCGTAATTCTTTTTATGTGTATATAATGAAAAAATGAGAAAACAGGATTTTTGTACTCACATACATAAGCACTATACATTAATTTATGTATTAGCAGGTCCCAAGTGGTCAGCATATTTATTGATTTTGCTATCCACATTATTCAGTCTGACAGTAAGAAAATTGTGTATAGGTTTAATAAAATGATCTCTTCAATCATTATTGTTAAAGAATAGGTTATCTACTGGTATGTTTGAAAAGCTTTTCATTCAGAAATGAACACTCTTGGCACGTATAAACTTCTTGTCGACTATTTTTTATAGCACTTCTTGATCATTATAAGACTACTTCATAAACACCGTCACACTAAATGGTTTTATAATTGCAAGTTCGTTAATATATTATTATCATTACATGGAGGGGGGGAGATATATCTCTACAAATGTTCAGTAATTTAAAGCAGAACTCTTATAGGTATCATTATAGAAGGAAATACTTCCAAATCTGGCTTTTATAGCAAGATCATTTTTATAATTGGACTCTGTATGAAATGAAGAGCTCTGGATACTTAAAAGGTTATTTAAGAATAAAAAGAGTTTGAAAGAATATGGATCATGCTTCTATCTAAATTAATAAAGGAAGACAATTCACTGCAGTGAACAGTTGCAATAAAACTGAGCACTTTGTCCTACCTAATTGAATGTTCAATTCTACTGGGTATGCATGGGTATATCCCATGAGGTAAGCCTAATGGAAAAGCTCATAGGCTTTAAAACAGATGCACATGAAAACAAGCCTCAAAATTGCATGGATGATTTGACAAGAGAGAAGAACAGAATCACTTCAGAGAATCAGCTAATTAAGAAGGTGAGTATTCAAGCAAGTAGTGGCATTTGTTCACATTTCTCCTTATTTATTTTTCTGTTGATAACAATTATAAATTCACACAACTCCATTCAAACTCTGGGCAGCTTACAACAATAAAAACTATACAAAACTATAAACAAAGCAGAAAAGACACTTGGAAGAGTCCATCATTAAACTCAACAGAGAAAACCCTATGAGAAGTTCACTACCACTCTGAAACCAAGCACTGGAAAACAGCTGTTTTTAAAGACCTTTCAAACAGAGGCAAGATAGGATCTTTATAAACCTCTGGAAAATTGCTGATCCAGAGGGCAGACACAAAAACAGAGAAGACCCACTTTTGAGATCCTGCTGGATGACAACTTCATCTGATTGGAAAGTCTGTCAGATCAAACAGGATGGGCAGAAATTATCAGATGGGCAGTCACTCAGATAGTTAGATTATGTGCCATGAAGGGATTTATAAATAGTAATCAGCACCTTGAATTGCACCTAAATGGCAACCAATGCTGCTCATGGAACAAAAGTGTTATTTAACTGTACTTCAGCATGCTCATAATTGTCCATGCCACTGTATTTCAGAAAAACTGAAGCTTCCAAGAGAAGCTTTATGTAAATACTTTGAAATAATCCATATGCGAACTGACTAAGGCAGGAGTGATTGCCTGGAGGAGAGGAGAGAAGAGGAGAGACAAGAGACAAGAGACAGGATAGGTTAAAATAGGATAGGATTTGGATAACTTTTATTGTCATTGATCTGTACATATAATGGCATGCATTAAAATTCCATAATAGTGTAGAAAAATTGCTGTATTGAAATATTTTGATTATTGATATGTGCCATCAGAGACCAGTTTGGTGAGTGATTAAAGCAGGCTAGAAACCAGGAAACCATGACAAGCCTTATCAAGAAAACCTGGGCATCTTCAAGAATCAGGCATGATTGAACAAAATAAAAAAAAGTGCCTGTATAGTTGCTTTAGAGTCAAGATCAAATCATTGTTGACGCTTAGCAACATATGACTCCATGACTATCTGTTCTCTAACTAGAACTTTCAGATTTTCCAATCAGGCCCCCATCATTATTGTTACTGCACCTATCCATCTTGCTGCTGGTCATCCTCTTCTCTTTCCATTCCAGCTTCTCCAGACAATGAGGTTTTTGCATAAAATGTTCAGAGGAAGATTAAATATACAATGGCAGTGTTCCATCATAGTTTCACACTGACCAACTGAATCTTCCTAAGTACTTTTTAAGATTACATACTACTTGTAAAAAGGTCATACTTGTTTTTGGGGAGAATTCACATTTATATTAACCACAATGTTTATACATGACATTAGATGCCATTATTTGCAGCAGAGCTGTTCTTGCTAATAAAGAATGCTAATTATTTAACAGGGCATGGTATGAAACCCAAACAATACTAGCTATGTAATTATTAATTGAAAAAAATATATTCTGAAAAGTTATCAAGGTTTTGTTTGCTTGTTTGAGGGTTCATTGATTTAATTATTGATTTGTTTATTGGTAATTAAAGTATTTTTAACCTACTCTTCAATCAAAAGAGTTCCTAAAGCAATATAGTAAAATGTAACTATATTTGAATTTTGAGTTATGGGACTTTTTTGGTCTCAAGTCTAAAAATATGCAGAAAAGTGCATGATAGCACTAACCTTAGAAGCTAAACTATAGATATTTCTTTTTCCTATAAATACAATTAATTCCTTGGAGACTTTGTAAAAATGTGAAGAATAAACAGAATAAACAGACTTTTAAAATTCTTCTATCAGTTTGGTGTGACAAATTTATTGCAGATAGCAACTCTAATCAGCAGAAATATATGTTGCCGTAGACCTATCTACTGGTAAGTAGCACTGGTCCCACTGAGGGATTTGAGTCAATAAAGCTGTCTTGCAGACTCATTTCTAAAATATTTATTTATGCAAACACCATTAGGAGAAAAATGTTGAGGGTTTCACATTTTCAAAGTTCACATGAAGATACTGATTTGCAAATCCAAGGTAACTGGATCTATAATTGGCTTACTTTTTTCAAAAAGTTAGGTATAGAAAGATGATTATGAATTCCAATACCCTCATACTAATAAGGATTTTGTGGATGTTAGAGACTCCACACAACACTGTGCAATACACTGTGTTGCAGTTAATTAAAACTCACTTTGTAGTTACCTCTCAGTATGAGAGGATGCATCAAGATTATGTGAAATAACGTCTTATCACACTAGAGAGCCAGTTTGTGTAGTGGTTAAGACATGAGGTTACAGGATAAACTGCAGGAGCTTGTCCAGTTGCCAAGAGACATTGTCTTGAAGGCACAAAAAAGATATCATGCTGCTAACTAATTAAAATACCTTACATTATTATTGTATATTGTATATCAGAACTGCCTATTATAGGTATTACAAATAAAAATTATAAGTTTGTTTATTTTTCAGTATTTCTCATATTTGCAAAGAAATGAATTCAGAAAAAAAAGTATTATACCTTAATAACGTTCCCTTCTATTAAATTTGTTATATATATTACACAAAGGCATTTTTGCTATACAAATGTCTTCCATTCCCAGAGAAAAATTATCATTGAATAACAAAAGGCACTTTTTTTCTCTGAATAAAACAAAACAATAGATTTCTTTGTCTAAAAGGTTGGATTAAAATAGATATAAAGTATATCATGCCCTGTACTATCATCTGAGAGCAATTGACGTGATTGAAATAGAGAAAAAAGAGTAGTCTGTCATCCATTCTATTTTCTTTTATTAAAGAAAAATACATGAGGTATATTCTATTGGATAATAGAAGTTCTATTTGATTTATATACCATGTTTCTTCCAAGAGCTCAAAGTAATAGACCCAATATTATTTTCTCCAATTGTATCTTCACAGAAACAACTTGTGAGGCAGGCTGGGCTTAGTGGAAGCCATCGGATTAAATACCCCACTGAGTTTTCATAATTGAAGGTGATGCCTAACAGCATTTGTCAATTATAATATACTTTATATACTATATATTTTATCACTCTCAGTTATGTGAAATACTTTCGGGGACAACCCTGTCAAACTCAGGCACTTCATATAGACTACATAGCTTATTGTCAGTGAGAAAGCTGCTTTCCATGATTTTGGCTGTCTTTAACACCACCCAGCCCAGTAGGACTTACTTCTGAATATGTACAGAATTGTCTGTTATTACCCATCATTATTTTAGACAAAAAAATCTATAAATTTTATTACTGCCCATTTTCATTTAAATTATGATATGCACAAGATTTGCGCTTGCTTCTAAATTTTTACAAGAGCTACAGTTAAATGAAGTCTCATTTAAACTTAAATAAATTATCATTTCTTACGAATCAATAAACTCATAGGGTTTCTCATTATGAGAAAGTAGGATCTTAAACCATTTTCAAACCATAATTTAATATTATGATACATACAATCTCACAAATTCCTTAATTATTCTTTGAAGCATTTTAGACCATTTTATTTATCTATTTAGTTGGTAAACAGTTACTAGAACTGTAGACTATAATTGAGATGAGGCCAGTTTAATCAAAGCATTAAAATGCATACAGTTAACTTGGTGGTTCCTTTCCCATGCAAGTGTTTTCTAATAGCTATGATGAACACCTTTGTCCCTGTGGTATGTCTAAGGAACTGCACCACCAATTTTCACAACTTAATCCATGTACAATAAATGCACAAAAAGGAGGAAAGAAAAAAGTTATCTTTGGTAATGCAGATAATTGGAGCATTACAATACTAAATGGGAGCAAAATAAATTACATTTAAAAATTAATTTCACAATATATATTATTGTTCTGCTTTACACAACTTATATTTATATAAACTGATGATTATACAGTTATTTTAGAAACAAATTGATCTGTTCTGAAATACTTTTAACAATAGCTTTCATACTTGTGCTTATGTTGTTCAGCTGAGAAATTTGCAGGTGGTTGTAAATTAGATTAATAGAAAATACTTATGAATTGACTGAATGCCTCCTGGATAATCCACTTTTAATATAAATGTTTGTGCTTGATTCTAAGAATTTGAAGTTGAAGGGAAGCAAGCACCAATATTCCATGAAACAAGGATTAATATTCTGAAGCTTCTCATTGTCTCTCCTGAGTGTAAGCCACCCAATCTTGCTGGGTATCTTCTTGTTTATGAATTCAGGAAGCCTGTCAGCACTACAAATCTGCAAGATCCAGGTACCCAACTAAAAGTGCTCTGATGATATAGAGAAAGAGAGGGAAGTGGCTAGCTACCATCTGGAAAAAACCCACACTTGGATGGTGATATTTTATTTTAATTTTATGGTATACAGAATAAATGTTAAATGTTTTACATGTTAAAATCAATGCATTGTAGAAAGGGCATCTAGATCAGGGGTCGGCAACCCACAGCTCTGGAGCTGCATGTGGCTCTTCGACCCCTCTTTGTGGCTCCCTGCCAAACTGGTAGTTAATTTTTCTGCAGTTTGGCAAACCAACTGATCCCACCACTGGCTGGCCTCACCCCTAAATTTACCAAAGAAAAAAAAAACCCTAGCAAAAGCCCTAATGAAAAGCTGTTATGCTTGGGAAAGACTATATGCATGCAATCCTTGCCATAAAATGCTAACTTTCTTCCAGTCTTGGACAGGAAGTATGGCTACAAATGTTTTTGGAAAGCACCAAGAAAAGAATCCAAAAAGTCCTAAACATACCAACCTGAAGTAACCAGTCACATATGTAGATATTTGAAACAGTTTTAAATAGTAGAAATAAACTGAAATGTTCTCCAAGGGAACGGGAAATAAGAAAAATGTCATATTAAGTTGGTTGATATTGACATTCTTTATGGGAAATAAATTTTAGTATATGGCGTTTCTGGATTTGCCAGAGAATATAAAGAGCCAAATCAATCTAGAATCCTTTAAAAATTAGTACCTGAGTTACTTCTTAGAGTTGGTACTAAAAAGAAACAAATTGGGGGTGGGGGGACTGCAAAACATACAAGTTGCATCTGTGTGAGAAAGTTGTATAACACTGCAGAGGAATTCTTTAATGTGAATCAAACCAGAGTACCTTTTATCTGAATCATTCTAATAGGGCAGGGATATAAATAATTCTGGCAAATAAAGTACAGCATAAGATCCAGTCAAAAAGTCAAAGAGCCTTAAGGAAAAATGCACTGATGAGAGACATATAAGATACAACATATAAGCTCTTATACTAATATCTGACGACTCTTTTCTACGTTTGAGAATGCAAGTGGTTGGCTGTAAGGGAAAACAATGATTTGTTGGATGTAATGGAAATTAGATGAAATGGAGGAGCATACTGCACCCTATGGATGCTATCGGAAGCCATGCAGATAACCTCAGAGAAGCCATGCAGAAACCATACATCAACAGATACAAAAGCATGTGTTAAGCCCAGAGCACGATAAAAAAATTAGAATACAGACTCAGATTGGCTCCCTGTGACTCTCTGAAATACAAGCTGGAGGACGAGAAAAACACAAACAAATGTGCAAGATTTATGTCAGTCCTGTGTGATAGATCCGGTAAGGAAGGAAACTGACTCCACAGGAAGATTAGAATTACATTTTATTGAAATAGTCTACAGCAGCCCACTGTCAAACTCCCAGCCCGCAGGATGCATGCATCACACACTGGCCATGCCTATGCCCGATTTAGCAAGGGGGGGAAAGTCCCAATACATTATGTGACGATATGAGTTTGACATCCCTGGGCTACAGTAATACATAGTAATAAATAACCTTGCGAATCTGCTGAATTTTTCCTTCTCTTTCTCTTATACCCCAGAGAGTTTGGGGAAATTGGTACGGATCTCTAATGTTTTCCTGCCTTCCTGGGCTTAATGGACCTGCTATTGACTTCTATATGGCTTTTCTAAAGTTATGTCCAAATGTACAAAGATATATCATTTTTACTAGACTTTTATTGTTGATTTCAATACTAATATTTATTTATTCATTTTGTCTTCCATATTATAATTATGTTAACTTACATAAAGTAATTTGAGTATAAAATAGAATATAATCAAATTAATGAATAAAATTATGTAAGAAAGATAAAGGAAAGATATAGTGCTGTTGTGCCATAGTTAAACATACTAGGAATCTCAAAATCGGCATATTTCTTTAAGAATCATAGGAGATAAGAACCCAAAATTTAATATTGGACATTACCTTCTCCTTGGTATATCAACAATCTAGGAGGCAAATAAAAGTTAAAGTATTATAACACTCAATCATAAATAGTATGATTGTAAACAAGATTTATAAAAATTCTAGATAATTATTCCATAGACTAATTAGTAATGGGAAAAACCAGAGAGATCTGATCCTAGATGTAGTTGTACAAGGCATTTAGGCCCTATTGAAAACTTATCAGTGATGCTGAGATTATTGGAAACATACTTTCAAATGTAATTTATATACAAATTACATATTAGAGCCACTTCTCAGAGTAACACACTGATATATAAATTTAATAAATAAATAAATATAAATTGCCAAGGAAGACCAATACAGAGATGTTACTCTAGAACAGGATTGTCAAACACAAGGCCCGCAGGCCAGATTCAGCCTGTTGGGTGCTTAGATCTGCCCATGGGTCCAGCCTGGACATAGCAAAGGATCAGCCCACGGTGCCTCTGCTAGCGGCTCCCATGGCCCATTTTTGTCCTGGATGGCCTCTTGCAGCACTCTGCCAGTCAAAACAAGTTGCAGGGGCCTCCAGAGGTGTCCCTCAGCTGTTGCTGGCCAAAATGGAGCATCCATGGGCCAGATTTGGCTCTCCCCACCCCATTTCCCATGGCTTTACTGTACTTACTTTTCAAAGAGCTCCAGAAGAGGTTGACCCAGAGAACCCAAGGTCTTTTATTCACAAACCTACCAACCTACCAAGAATATGAGATGTAAGGAAAACAGCTTTCCCCATATGAATAAAAGACCAGCTTCTCTGCCATGACAACCTGCAGGCTTAGTTTGGCGGTGATGGGATTCAAATTTTTTTACTACCGGTTATGTGGGCATAGCTTGATGAGTGTGGCAGGGAAAGGATACTGTAAAATCTCCAGTCAGAAGTGATATTTGCCAGTTCTCCGAACTACTCAAAGTTTCTGCTACTGGTTCTCCAGAACTGGTCAGAACCTGCTGAATACCACCTCTGCAGTTTGGGCCCAGTCTTGCCAGCGACAAGCTCCTGCTTGCTGCTGAAGGGCTAGTTCAAATGAACAGCTTCAGGGATTGGGTCATGGCAGTCAATCAATAAGGGGCTTTCAGTTCAGCCCAGTGAGACAAAGGAAGCAAGCTCCTCATTGATTAGCTGCTGCTGCTACCTCAATCCATGAAGCAGGAGGCTGCTGTGGCCCAGTCCAGGCCACATGGCCCCAGCCTAAGTCTTTTACTCAGAAGCTGGTAAAAATGTTTTCCTTAGATTTCACATTCTTACAACTTTGCCATCATCTGAATAAGATACTCTGGCTTCTCTGCCAGTGGGTCAGCCTCTTCTGGAGCTCTGGAGATCTGTGGGGACTTGACAGGGCAGGTTGGAGGTGAAGCAATTGTGGGGACCCCAAGGGAACATGAAATATCTCAGTGGGTTGGTGGGGCTTGGATGGTCTGCTCCAGCACTAGTCCCTGCATGCTCTTCCCCACTCTGAGATACCTCATGTGCATTTAATGACCTGCACATTTGATTAACAAATGCATTGGGGAAAGCAGGGAGTGATCATGTTCATTTAACTTCATTCAATCGAACGAATCCTTGGGTTACGAAAGTAATTGGCAGGCTCTGTTACATTCTTAACTTGAGGATTACCTGAATAATGAGAGTGAGGGAGGGTCTCGGGGAAGTCCTGCCTTAGCACTTGGCCATCACAGGTACCCTCATGACACGAGTCCTGTGTCATGCCTACCAGAGGTGGAATTCAGCAGGTTCTGACCAGTTCTGGAGAAGCAGTAGTGGAAATTTTGAGTAGTTCAGAGAGCAGCAAATACCACCTCTGACTGGAGATTTTACAGTATCCTTCCCCTGCCATGCCCACCAAGCCATGCCCACAGAACTGATATTAAAAAAATTTGAATCCCACCACTGATGCCTACCATGACCATACCTACCATGACCATGCCCCCTGGGCATGCCCCACCCCCGGACCGCTAAAGGTCAAACACAATCCTGATGCAGCCCTCAATGAAATCAAGTTTGACACCCCTCTTCTAGAAGAAAGAAAAGTTCTCAAACTTAAGGAGAAAAATTAAAATTAAAATGAGATGGAAAGTTAAGAGAATTACATTTTTCCAGATTAGTGGATTGATTATATTTATAACAACACAAGTTCACTATATGGTAACTGTAATTAATTGAGGTACCACTAATTCAGATTCATACCATTATGGTAAATAAGCAATATAAAGGAAATTATTAGTGATGTCAGGAAGATCTCTTTCTTCCCCATTTGTACACATACACATAAAAGAAAGAAGAAAATGGAGCTTATCAAAATAAATGTTGAGTTCCATAATGCTACAACAAAAGTGCTAAGGAAAAATGATTAAACCACTGGATACCAACAAATTCTAAAAGAGATTGAGAAAATTCCAAAGAACTTGAATAAAGTCTTTCTCTTTGTTTTTACTACAAGAGATATGCCCAAACTGACCATTTCATGATGAGAAACTGAAGAAGTGAAAAAAAAGAGTGGTAACCCTTTTGATATGCTCATAAATGTCTGGAGCTAAGAATGAGAAGAGAGGTAGCCAAGTTTATTGCTGCTTTGAAACTGTTAAGGATAGTCAAAACAAAAAAGAATGGCGTTCCCAAGGGGTTTCACCTATTGGAGAAATGCAATGATTTTATAAAACAAAGAAAAGACAATGCACACTTAACCAAAATAACAACTGGTGGAATCTAAACTGTCAATAAGTGAGCAAGTAAATTTGTAATAGATAATTTGATGAAAATGGTCCAGTATATGGATGTTGAGAAAACAAGGAATTCTATGCCGACAATACTTAGCAAATAAATAATCCTGTTCAATTATAAAACTGTTCAACAAATATATACTGCAAACAAATATAGCTTGAATTCTGTTTACAGTTTTGATTGCAATCTATCAGAATCAATAAATGGAAAAAATGGCAATTAAAAAGTTCAAGCAACTTCTCTGATGAGAAAAGATTAGAATTTAAGCTTAGAAAAGGCAAAGGGAGAGATGACAAAATGCAGAGACGACATTTTTCTTCCTCATAATGGTAGAATTTGAGTTCATCCTATTTAACTGTAGAACGGGACATTAGTCATGAACCAAAGGAAGCACTGCTTCACAAAGCATTGTAAATGACTGAATGCATTATCATAAAACATAGTTATATTGACCAACATGGAAAGCATTAAAAAATAATTAACTTCATGAAAGATAAACATGTATAGTGCTTTCTAATTGTGTTTATGTATTATTTCTTTATCTGAAACAATACATTTCTACAAACCAACCCACTGGTATGAATTCAGGAGCACTTAGTTCTTTCCCATAGATCTAAGCTTGACTGCTTGGTGCTTGTCTAAACAGGAATGTAGTATGTTCTAGTTAGAGTTTTATTCTGCTCTTATGTCTGAACAATATATTTTATGAATTAAGGCACCCACAGAAACTCTGCCTAAATGGTTTAATGTTTTTAACATAATCATTCCACTGCTGTATAATCAAAATATATAACAATTTATATTACATACTTCTTATGCTACTTTAGAACATTCAACATATGTACTAGAATAGTTGAGTTGGAAAGGACCTTTGAGGTCTTCTACTCCAACCCGCTACTCGAGCAGGAGATTCTTCTATATCCAGGGGTGGGATTCTACTGGTTCTGACTGGTTCTATAGAACCCTTTGTTAACTTTCTAGGCAGTTTAGAGAACCGATAGTTAGAAGAAATCTCCTTTTGTTTTTTTTTTGCACCGTTATGACATTCTTGGCAGTATGCCTAGATTTACTGTCTCAGAAGCAGGGGATTTTTTGTACTTTCTTAAAGAGCAAGGATTATTTTAAGCTTTTTACACTGCTGTTGGGAGGAGATACTCCCCTGAATATACTTCCAGCCACATGCAACAATCAGCACTTTGAAGAAATAATTAAATAACCGGAAAGGAGCTTTTAATGACAGGGAACCAAGATGAGTGACATTCAGCAAAGGTTTCTTGGCTAGCTAGAAAGATTGACATTCAAAAGTGAGTTTACAAACCCTTTCTGAGTTTTAATCTAAAACTGATTTTTGGAGAAGTTCAATTCTGTCCTTGGTGATGTTTAATCCTGTGTTTATTGATGGAATAATTTTCCCTATTCAGCTTTGTTTGGAAGGAAAAAGGTTCATCTCTGTCCCTGAAAATAAATTGGGTTGAGAAATCTGGCTACTTCCTGTGTCTATTTGTTCTGGTAATTGGCTTAAAAAGCAACAGCTACTGTTGTGATCTAATTAACTGTATCATGTTTGAATTTTTTCCTGTCTCATGGTTTCTTTTTCTACCTGGGCAGGGGGGAGTCTTCCTTCACTGCTTTAGTGGTATCTGGCACTGTCCTTTTGGGGTGTACTTCCAAGAGGCAGGATGCAAGCTTGGCACTGATTTTTTTACTGCCTTTCTGGGGGGTATGTGACCTTTCTTAAATCTGGATGATTTCCTTAGGATATCTTGTGAGGTGAGTGAGACCAGCTGGTATCTTTAAGTGATACAAATGGTTCTTAGGATTGTTTTTCCTGGGTGTGTTCTTTCTGGAGAGCTTAAATAACCTCTGGGTTTCACTTTATGAGCAAGAGGTGGCTGCAGATAGTTATCATTGCATTTTAACTATTTTAATTTCTCAAGGTGCTCTGGCAGCCTGCCTGATTTGTAACTCTGGCTTGCAGGTATTTTTAATCTAATGATTGGTATTTAGATCAGCTTTTTGCAAGCAAAGAAACTTTTTATATTTTTGTACAGGTAATTTGTCATGCACTTGTTGGAGTCCAATTTTGAGGGGGAGATTGAGCAGCTATCGGGGAGTGGGAGTGTGGATCCAGTGGGTGTGGAAGAAACAGGGGAAGGGCACAGTCTGGCTGGGCATTCAGAGGAAGACCCAGGGCCATCCCCTTTTCATCCTAGGGCATGCAAGGAGGAACAGAGAAGGGAGCAATGTGGCTTATGGGAGAGGAAAGGGCCTTGATCCCCTTCATGGATTGCAGCTGGGAAGACTGTTTAAAAGGGCAAACTGCACATGGCAAAGTTGCTGAAAGCAAAGCGTGCATTATCTTTGTCGAGGCTTATCTGGATTTTGGTGTCCTCCCAACTGTGGGTGCTACATTCCACCCTTTTGGAAGTCTGCAATTTATCATCCTGCCCTGTCACTTCAGCATGGTTTATGTTGGTTTTTTTATTTCTAATTATCTTTACTTTGGATTTGGACTGCATTTCATCCCTTCGTAGACTGTTTTTGGAAGAGTTTGATCTCCAGCCCACTGGACATTGGGCGCCAGGTTGGAGGCATTAAAGGGAATTTATCTACTTTTTGTTCCACACTCCGGGTCATCACATAATCCTTCACTTACAACAGTTCATTTAGTGACCATTCAAAGTTACAATGATTACCAAGTTACATTCCAAGTTAAATGAAAAAAGTGACTTATGACCGTTTTTCACACTTATGACCGTTGCAGCATCCCCACAGTCACTAGAAGCCAGATGAGGAGAAGCGCCCCTCGACGTGAGTTACATCGAGTTGGCCACGCCCACCCAGTTACATGACCACCAAGCCACACTCACCAACTAAGCCATGCCCACAGAACCGGTTGTTAAAAAAATTTAATCCCAACCCTGTCTATATCATTTCAGATGGATGGTTGTCCAGTCTCTTTGAAAGCTTTCAGTGATACAGCACTCACAACTTCTGCAGGCAAGCTATTCCATTGGTTAATTGCTCTCACTGTTAGTAAATTTCTCCTTGGATCTAGGTTACTTCTCTCCTTGGTTATTTTCCAACCATTGTTTCTTGTCTTGCCTTCTGGTACTTTGGAAAATAATTTGATCCCCTCATCTTGGAAGGAGCCCCTCAAACATTGTAACAATGCTATCATGTTTCCCCTAGTTCTCTTAGGTTTTAACCTCCAGCCACCCAAATTTCCAAAATCCTTACATTATTTTTAATCTATTTTTAATATGGCCTGCATTTTTTTCCAGTTAATTTAACTAAAGTACTTCTTGTACAAGCTTCAATGAGTTCAAATTTCACTTTAATCATAAAAGTCAGATGGGTGCCTTTGGAATACTCATTCCCTCTCAACGCAACCCAGAGGTGGGTGCCTTTGGAATGCTCATTCCCTCTCAACGCAACCCAGAGGTGGGCTGCTTGGGGTTCGGGAGAGCCCCTAGCTAAGATTCTGTGCAGTTCAAAAAAAAACCAAATCCCACTCCTGGCTGGCCCCACCCCACTCTGCCCCTCCCAGGAGTCCCCACACAGCCCATTTTGGATGCAGGTAAGTGCAGGGCATGCTCAGAGGCTCAGGGAGGTGAAAAACGGGCCTCCCAGAAGTTTGGGAAGGCCAGAAATGGGCCCATTTCCAGCTTCCAGAGAGCCTCCAGAGGAAAGCCTCCAGAGCCTAGGAAGACCAAAAATCCCCCCCCACTCCCGCTGTGGTGCAGGAGGCTGACTACGCCATGCCCACCATGGCCACGCCCACCCAGCAACTGGGCAGAGAACCCTTTGCTAAAATTTTTGAAGCCCACCCTTGACGCAACCCATCATACAGGATTGCTATTGTGGGGAAAAATAGGAGGAAGGTGTGTTTTGTAAAACAAACAGTAAATGTATTTGAAATGCAGCTAAAAACAGAATCAAAATGTCCACTCCCAACAGATAACTTTAACTCAATAATAAAAAAGAGAATAAAAGCACTATTCAATTTGCTTATAAACACAAAAATACAGGAATGGAATTTCCTATATGACTCTTTCAGTGGTGGGATTCAAAAAAATTTACTACCAGTTCTGTGGGCATGGCTAGGTGGGCGTGGCAGGGGAAAGATACTGTAAAATCTTCAGTCAGAGGTGGTATTTGTCAGTTCTCCAAACTAGTCAAAATTTCTGCTACCGGTTCTCCAGAATTGATCAGAACCTGCTGAATACCACCTCTGGACTCTTTCCTTGGTAGCCATGTTTGCATCAGGCTGATAATTGAAATTATTACCAAGTTTCTTTGGAACTAACACTTGTTTCTTTTAAACATTATATTTTATTAAAATAATAATTATGCTATATACTGAACATTTTGATAAGCTAAAACTCAGAAGAAGCCTGCTAGTATATTAATATCAGATGTCATCAGTCTTTGTATATTGTAGTATGATAGCAGAAATTAATAAAGGAGAATATTTGTAGATAGGGGTTGAAATGAGGAGTCCTTTTTTGCAGATGTTTCTTTACCAAACTGGGTAACATCATCAGCATAGTTATTACTAAAAGTCAAAAACATACGCAAATATACATTTCTCTTAGTGTTAAGAATTAGATCTCTGGACTCCTTTATGGTGGCACTAAAGAGTTATGTCTAACTCAGAATTCCTAAACTTATTTTTTCTATATTACTGTTGTGAAATTTAGAAGATAATTGTAATTATACATTACAATTATACTGCAACATTATAACTGCAATAGAAAACAAAGCAACAAAAAAATATCAGAGCTACTACCCATGGCAACATTAGTGTTGCTTCTTCAAAGGTTTTGAAGAAGGCTGCTTGAACATAATCCTCAAAAGAAACCACCCAACCTGGATTCCTTCAGAAGTTTACAAACTGGCTGTAGGTTCCCAAAGCCCAATTCACCAAGGCATTGATGAGACATTATGGAATCCATAATTCAAAACATTAGGAGTGCATAAATATATTAACCCTCAATATAAAAGTACTATCTGCTGAGCTCTACTGAAACAAATTAAGCAAAAAGTCTTAGCAGTCAACTTTATCTACTTTTACTGATGCAAAACTCAAATGGAAATGAAGCAGGTTAATGAATGGCTCAAGAAATCTAGTATAGCTTCAAGCAAGCAGAACCAATAGAGTGTGCGATGCTTGCACTTGATATAATCTAAAGGATTGTTCTCATTCAATGTCATGGGGCCTTATTTATAAACTTATAGAACGTTATTCCATTTTTCCACCTTACATATATCCTGCAACGTTGCTGTTCTCACCCAAATAAGACATCATATAAATCCTGAATTAATTGATTTTTACCTCAACCAGCTAGTTCATTTTAACTTTGTAGAATTTGTTTCATTAAAACAAAGACCCATGCACAAAGACCTACAAGACACACCTTACAGACACTGATATTTCAAATCTTGACATATTTTTTGAGTTAGTGCATCAACTATTTCATATTCAATTAAACCTTAAAGCAAATACTGTGAAAGAAAGCAGTATTCAGATATGATCTTTCTAGTTTTGTCCTATACATTCACCCTTAAAAGCCAGTTGGATTCTTTTCAGTAACAGTGAGTGACAGAATCAAATCACAATGCGCAACTCCTAAAAAAGAAAGACAGCCCAGGATGTCTACAATATATTTGGATAATGTGTCATGGCTATGCTATCTTTTTGTTAATAATAAGCCATAACTATGCTTTTGTCCTAACAAAGGGCTAGGGAATGATGATCCCTTTATGACTTGTGAACTTCAACTCCCAGAATTTTGGCTCAGGGCTCAAGTCATAAAAGGTCCATTTATCCTCAGCCGTGCCCTAACCCAACACCTAAGAAGGGTTTTGGATTTGAGAACTATTAATATTTCTAATGGATAACAAACCATTTCTAATGGATAACAAATGGATAAACAAACCATGGAAAAAAATCATTAGGATACGAGCAAAAGAGTTGATTGTACTGTCAGTTACATATTTTTCAGTTTAGGGGGAAAACATGACAATTTAGTCTCAAGACACACACATGTTCACCATTTTTTGCCAACATCATCTTCTAAAACTGGCAGCAAAATCTGGACAGACAGTAAGTGCAAAAAATATCCAAGTACTCCCAACATCTTTAAAATCTCCACATTCATATTTTTACTTTGGTTTTTCAGATTTAACTGTAAAATACAAGTAATCCAATAAAAAATAAAATAAATTCACTATTGTTTCTTGGAACAATAACATAGCCAGACACATATGAAAGTAATCTGCTAGTCAGAAAATTATGAGGAAAAAAAATACCACTATAGGAAAAAAAAGATTCAGTCCAAGCAATTGAAGCAAAGCAATTATTTTATTGCCTCACTAGCCTCAATCCTACACTATTCCAAAACTCTGCCAAGAATATGGGTGCTTGCCTGCTAACTTGAACTATATCCAATGTTCTTAAGAGAATGCATTCTGAAGAACACAAATGAGGAGGATCTGGACAAACATGTTAACTTAAAGAAAATAGATTTTAAATGGAGAGAACAGACTGGAAGCATTTCACACAGTCACATGTATTATTTTTTGAAAGGCTGTCCTCCTAATTCAAACAATCCAGCTAATCCTCTTGATGAATGCAGCATGTGTTATGCTGTAAATGAAAATTGTATAGCCTCTAAACAAGGGAGGCAGCACTGCTACAAATGCCAAACAAGGGATTGCCAGTTTAAACACTGCCTTTTTATCTTCCCCTTTTTGGTAAACAAACAACCCACATAAGAAGCATCCAAATAATACTGCAGGGATAATAGTTTAACCCAAATATTGGTTAAAATGCCCAAAGAAAGATAAAGAGAAATGTAAATGCAGGCAGATATAAGCTATGTAAGTTGTGAAACCAATTATTCTCTTCTAGACACAACTTTACTTATTTTAAATAGTAACCAACATCAGGCTTGTAAAATACTTAATACTGAGCCTGCTCACCCAGCAGACACATTGCATGGTAACATTTGCATGATGGAAATCAGAAAATCACTATCTATCGTCTGGCTAATTTAAATTTTTTCAGTATTTTATTGGAAATTCCAAGCACTGTAGTAAATATAAAATGACTAGACCACCTGTGTGATTAGGCCATTTTTCTTTTTCACATTTACTACAAGCATGCACCCCCCCCCCCAAAAAAAAAAAACATAGAAGACCCTCCTGAAGCATCCTCTTTGGCTAATCCATGAATTGCCTTATATTTTGTTGGGTGGGTGGGGTTGTGTATCCCCAAAAGTCATCTTCTTCCAAGGAGGAAGAAGGCTCATATGTCAACTGCTGATGCCAAATCACTCTCTCATGCTTCCTCAGCAGCCATTGCCATTAAGAGATTTCAGATTTTGGTCTCAGTTCCAAATCAACCAGTGTCCTCTCGCCTGTTGGACCTTGCCACCAGCCCATTGGCCATAGGGGCCAGAGGAAGATGGGAAAGAAGATAGAGATATTCTCCTCCCCCTTTCCTTGCTGCATATGGATTTCTGGGAATGTAGTTGAAA